CAGCTTTGTCATCTAAGTATTTAGGATCTTTACCAGGAGGCAGCTAGAGAATTCTTCCATCCCTGCCTGCAATGATGATGACTCAGATACCATCCCACTTAACGGATCCCTCCCTGGACCCATTGGCTCCTTTACACCACGTCTCTTTGCACATTGGAGTCAGAGGCCTACAAGGCAGGCATAAAGTAAAGTGGTGAGGGAAAATAAAGAATGGAGCCATGAGCAGGGTGGCTAAAGGGTGAGGCAGGAGGGAATGAGTATATGATTGCAATAAAATCCTACTGATTGTTCATTGGCCTTCCTGGGGAGGAAGTGGCAAAGGTCCACAAATGGCTTGCAGAGAGACAACCATACTGTTCTTTCAGTGTTTCCCTAGTGTGCTGTCCATGAGCACTGCAAAAAGCTGGAGGACAGACCATGCACTTTGGGAGCCCAACAGTAGCCCCCAATGTTTGTCACTTACCTTTCTAAGCGCTCTCCAGGTATTATTTCTTCTTCTCTTTCTCCTTCTCCTTCGCCTTCTTCTTCCGCTTCTTCTTCCCCTTCCCCTCCTCCTCCTCCTCTTCTTCTTTTTCCTCCTCTTCTTCCTCCTCCTCCTCCTCCTTTTTCTTTCCAGTCCTGGGGCTTGAACTCAGGACCCGGGCACTGTCCCTGAGCTTCTGTTGCTCAAGGCTAGCTCTCTACCACTTGAGCCACAATGCCACTTCTGGCTTTTTCTGTATATGTGGTGCCGAGGAACTAAACCCAGGGCTTCATGTGTCCTAGGCAAGCACTCTACCACTAAGCCACATTCCCAACCTCCAGGTGTTTTTGTTTTGCCCCAATGCCTTGATTCCATTTTCATTCATTTTGATTCTTTCTTTTGGGGGGCACGGGGAGGGGGGGAGTACTAGAGCTTGAACTCAGGGCCTGGGCACTGTCACTTAGCTTTTTCACTGTTGTTTTACCACTTGATCCATACCTCTAGTTTTAGCATTTTGACAATTAATCGGACAGTCTCATGGATCTGTCTGCTTGGGCTGGCTTTGAACTATGATCCTCAGATCTCAACCTCTTGCACGTACAGCTCGTCTCTCTCACAACTTGAGCTCTCATACAGCTTTCATCTCAGGTCTGATTCCAACCTAGGATCTTTTCATATTTGCTTTCTTCTAGAAAGCAAAGAGTGATGATAGGTGGGCTCAGTTCCTCCTTTGATATCTGGCCACACAAGTGGACAGCCAGTGAATGGGTCAATTCACATGGTCCAAAACAAGCCAAGGGGTAAAATAGGGTATAGAAGGAGTAGTGGGTTTCTTTGCAATGGGATTTAGGTGTGGGAAGCCACAGAAGACTACTCACCTGCGAGGGGACCATGTGAACTCAAGCCTGGGAAAACTCGCCGCCCTCTTGCCTTTGTTGCCTCCGTATAAAAGACCTTTCACTTCCTGAAAACCTTTCCCAAGTTGCTCAGTTCACCTCTGGAAGCATGTTAGAGGCTCTGGAGTCCTGCAGCAAACACTCCCTTCTAAAGGAGTTAAACACGTGGACTTCTGACACGTGACTTTCAGTCCCTTGATGCTCAGACTGAAGTTAGCATGGGCGTGGTGGGGCAGCTGCAGGACACCAGCCTCATCCTTTACCTACTGGGCCAATCTAAATTCCAACCAAATCCCCAGGAGACAAATACACTCATCCAAGTTTGAAACGTGCAGATTTTTAGAGACATTGGACATCTCCAATCAATGACCTGGATTTCCGGAAGTGATGCTTGGGTCCTCCTTACCAGTCAGTAGTCAATTTGGGATACAGATCCAGGTCACGTTCATGTTCTACTACCCTGTGCTGCATCTTCAGAGTAGTACATGAAGATGATAAGGGTGACCATATGATGTGTCATTCAGACGCAGTCACTTCTGAGAGTACAAGAGGGTGCTATGAACTACTCAGGATGATGCAATCTGATACAGTTGCTCGCACTTTGATCTAAAGGTTGTTTTTCTCTAGTTTCGGAGCCCTTTCTCATTTGTTGATCTTCCTTCTTTCCTTCTTTCCTCTTCTTCCTTCCTCCCTCCCTCCTTCCTTCCCTCTTTTCTTTCCCTCCCTCCGTTCCTCCTTCCCTTCCTCCTCCCCTCCCTCCTTTCCTTCCTCTTTCTTTCCTTCTCTCCTCCCCCCCCCTCCCCCCCGCCCTCTTTGTCTACATGGTTTTACTCTGTAGCCAAGCTGGCTAACTCTAGAATTTTAGGTTTGAAATAATTTAGTTCTCAAGTTGAAAACAAGAGCTGGGCAGGTTTGTTTGTGCTTGTAATCTCAGCCTTGAGGAAGTTAAGGCAGAGGAGGATAATGCCTTAGAGGTTACCCTGGGCAGTAGAGTGAGAGCCTCTCCAAAAGATGAAAATCCGAACAAAACCAAACTCCACAGAGGACCTCATGATATAATAATTCACTAACAAAATCAAGGTGGGATCTGGGGGTTGGTGGCTCATGTCAGTAATCCTAGCTATTCAGGAGGCTGAGATCTGAGGATCACGGTTCAAAGCCAGCCCTGGCAGGAAAGTCTGTGAGTCTCTTATCTCCAGTTAACTACCAGAAAATCAGAAGTGGTGCTATGGCTCAAAGTAGTAGAACACTAGCCTTAAGCTCAAGAGCTCAGGGACAGTGCCCAGAGTTCAAGCTCCACTATGACCACCACCACCACCACCACCACCACCACCACCAACAACAAAAATCAAGGTGGGGAGGGAATGACATATGTGTGGAGGAGAGAATTAGCCAAATAAGAGACTAGGGAATGTAATCACAGATAACATGCACATTTGAAATGATTTTAAAAGTCCTTTGCCTAACCCATTCTATGAGGCCAAAGCTTGAATTCAAGTATTATTGAAAACCAGGAGGAAATACTCATTCTCCCGCTGTCAGACAGCATGGCAGTGTGAAGCTGGAGGCTCTGGATCTCATGGCTGCCTGCCGAGTCATTTCCCTATGAGTCAACCAGACCTCAGAATCTGGTTTCTAAAACTGTTACTCCAGACGGAAGAGAGCCAGGAACCTGGCTCTTACACTGGGATGAGATCCAGATGAGCCAAAGAAGCGTCTGTCAGGTGCACCTCCTAGGACAAATGCCACCTGCCAGCTACTGCTGTCAGCTTTTTCTGCCACCCTGAGACCACCCTAGCTCTGGAACTAACAAAATAGGGTATCCTTGACAATCCTAAGCCTTAGACCTAGAAGATCTCATCCTGTCTGAGATTTAGCTAATAAGCTTGGGCTTATTAGTCTTTAATTATTCAAATATCAATAATAGTAGTAACAACTGATATTCATTGACTCCTTTGTCTTCCTTCAACATCTCTATCGGGTAGACACTGTGATTGTGTCATCTCCACTTGTTTATTTGTGTGTATGTGTGTGTAGCTGGTGTTGGGTCTTGAATTCAGGGCCTTCCATTTTTATGAGTCTTTCTTGCTCAAGGCTGGCACTTTACCATTTAAGCCATACCGCTTAAAGCTTTTTCTGCTAGTTAATTGGATATAAATGTCTCTCAGATTTGTCTACCCTGGCTGGCTTTGGATCAGGATTCTCAGCCTCCTGAGTAGCTAGTCTTATAGGTGTGAGTCACTGGTGCTTGACTTACCACCTCCAACTTATAGGAGCTAAGTTAAAGAGGGGTCAGGTTACTTACTCAAAGTCTTAGAGAGTTAATGGCAGGATTCAGATTTGATTCCCAAGTAATGTAATTCCAGATCCTAGAATTGGGTTTCTATTTCTATTGCAGTAGTTCTCACAGTAATCTGAATTTACATCAGACTACATAGGAATGTAAAGATAAAACTAATGGAGTCAGTGGTAGAGTGCTAGCCTTGAGCTGAAGAGCTGAGGGACAGCGCCCAGGCCCAGAGTTCAGGCCCCACGACAGGACCCAAAAAATAAAAATAAATAAATAAATAATAAATTTAAAAAAAAACTAATGGAGTCACTAGGCACAGTAATTTTAAAAAAAGAAAAGATTCTCAAGAGGGATTGAGAGTGTAGCTGAGTGGTAGAGTGAGTGGATACTCAGTATGCAAGAGGTGGCAGGTTCAACTCTCATCATCATGGGTAGGAGTCCCAAGATACTAAAGTAAAACCTGCGCTTGCTGTGTATTTACACATGTTGGCTGTAGTTCTCAGTGCTTGGACTTAGATTAGCTCAGTAATGTTCAAAGCCAGAACTAAAGAAAATCTCTTCCAGGAGTAAGGTGCAGTGAGTCTTACCAATCAGATTGAAATAAAGCCTAGAGCCATGCCATACTTGGCAGTGAGATCTTACAGCAAATCCCAAGTTCAGCCCTGCTAGTCCTTGACTCGATTTTTTTGGGGGGTGGGGTGCTAGTCCTGGGGCTTGAACTCAAGGTTTGGGCATTCTCCTCTAGTTTTCCGCCCCCCCCTCAATTCTAGTACTTTGCTGCTTGAGACACAGCTCCACTTTTGTTATCTTGCTGGTTAATTGGAGATGACTTCCATGAACTTTCCTGCTGGGGCTGGCTTCAAACCATGATTCTCAGATCTCAGCCTCCTGAGTAGCTAGGATTGCAATGTGAGCCACCCTGGCTCGTTATCTCGATTATTCATTCAGCCCTTACAGCCCTTTCCTTTCCCACTTACTTGCTTTTCTGGGGTGAGATGAACAAACAACAGAAATTTTAAGCTTGAGTAACTTGCTGTCACTCAGTAACTTGGGAGTCAGACTAGCCAGAGAGCCAAAGCTAGTCACACCGTTTTTAATTTCCCAGGCTTTAACGGTGGCGGCCCAAGCTGGCTTCTTTGGGGACATCACCACCTGCTTGCTCATCCCTGACCCTTGGGGGTCACCTGAGGCTCCACCGAATCCAGGTGGAGCCGCACACCGCCCCCTGGTGGCAGGCGGGCGCCCGCGCAGCACATGCTAAGGAGGCCGCGCCGCCGCCCGCTGATTGGCTGACGCGGACTCCAGCTGTTTTGGGAGTTAGAGCTGAGGAGCTGGGAGCTGCTGCCCGGCCTCGAGCGCTCCCCGCCCGGCGGCGCCTCCGGGGACGATGCGGGGCTGGCGCGGGCCAGGCCGGCTTCCCAACTTAGGGAGGCGGGGTGGAAGGGGGTGCTTTCCCTTTCTATCAAATTCGTGTTGTGCTGGTGAACTCATCCCGGGTCCAGCATGACGATCCGACACCAAGGCCAGCAGTACAGGCCGAGGATGGCATTTCTCCCAAAGGTACCAGGGGTGTCCCCACCTGTGGGCCTGGCAGGGGGGCGGGGGCGTCCCTGGGGAGAATCGGGGGGGCAGCGGGGCGGGCGTCCCTGGGGAGAATCGGAGGGGGGGGCAGCGGGGCGGGCGTCCCTGGGGAGAGTGGGGGGGCAGCGGGGCGGGCGTCCCTGGGGAGAGTGGGGGGGCAGCGGGGCGGGCGTCCCTGGGGAGAGTCGGGGGGGGGGCAGCGGGGCGGGCGTCCCTGTCGTCGGTTCGAGATGATTGGTCGTCTTGACTAATTAATACGTGTCGTGATATAAACCGTGTTTAGGTTTTCAAGCTGCCTCTGGGTCCCGAAGAATCTAGAATCTGCTCACCCTTGGGGCAGAATATGAGGAGTGGGGGGGGGGGGGGGGTGGACACGGAACCACCACCACGCCCGGGGCACAAGGACCGCATTCCCCATGTGTTGTTTCCACAGCTCCTATAGGTTGACATTTCTGATCTGAAGTACGGTTTTATCTATTCATTTAGTGCTGGTACTGAGGCTTTTTCTTCACAAGGCTTGCACCACTCCAGCTACACCTCCACTTCCAGCTTTTCATCGGTTCATTGGAGATGCGAGTCTCATAGGCTTTTCAAAGCCCAGGCTGGTTTCAAACATCAGTCCTCAGGTCTCAGCTTCCTGAGCAGCCAGGATTAGACATGAGCCACGGGCGCCCAGCTTGACGTATGATATTTGAAAGTAAACACATCTTATGCACATAGATGGATCCTGACATATACCCAGCTCATTGGGCTGTGGCCCCCCTTCCCCCCCAACAACTGCTTGGGTGCTTTGATTGGTTTGAGTCTAAATGTTACTTTCTGCCAACCTCATTTTACACTATTTTCTCTCAACCAGTATGTACTGAGAGACTTGTGAGTTCTGAGCTCATTGTAGGTAGCAAAGACACAAGCATAATCCTTTCCCACTTCCTTGGGGCTAAGGGTCAGTAACTCATCCCAGGTCAGAGTAACTGTGCCCAGCCTTGATGCACTGACAGAGGCCTGAGGCCTGGGTGCATCCTTAGGGGCATCCAGTCAAATCCTCTCTCAGGCTTGGGCACTTGGACCGTGGATGGCAGTGCTGAAGCTTACCAGTAAAGTGTGCTGTGGGTTTGGATCACTTTTTCCACAGCCCTGGGGATGAGTCTGATTACCCCCCAGGGAGTCTGTCTGGTTCACAGGAAAATTCCAGTCCTGGTGATTTTTGGAGTGTGACAGCTGCTGACTACAAGAAACCTTGGGTATGGGGCAGAGGTGTGGGCGACTGTCTGGGCTCCATGCAATAGCTACAGCTGAATCTGGGTGGGGAGATGCTAGGCTGAAGGGTAAGGTTATACTTTCACTTGGCTTGTTGCTCAGATCTGGTGCTCTCCTACTTGAGCCACACCTCCAGCCCTACTTTTTGCTGGTTATTTTAGAGATGATATCTTATGGACTTTGATTCCCAGGCTGGCTTTGAACCAAAATCCTCCATTTTAGCTGCCTGCATAGCTAGGATTAGAGGCATGAGCCACTGGCCTTTTCCACTTCAGACAATTTCAACAGTTTTTATTATTCTGTTATCATCCATATGAAATGCTTCGACTATATTTATTCTCTTGATTCTTTTTTTTTTAATGCAAAAAGGCCAGAAATGAACTGCTGACATTTTTATCAGAGAAGTTTAAATTTTCAGCTGCCAAAGCAAAGATGACTTCCACCTTTTCCATCTGGCCTTTGAGCGCCCTCTGCCTCTCTGTAAGAAGACAGTGGATTTTTCCAGTAAAATACAGGATTCTGAGTGAGTTCTTTATGCCTGCCTGAACAGTTAGGAGAGAAAAGACAAAGAAGCTGTAAGCCTGATCATCAGAAAGAAGAAAGGTGTGTGTGTGTGTTGGGGAGGGGACAAATGGCTACCCCTGGAAGGATTAATCCCACAGCTGGCTTCTTGTCCCCTAGCAGCCAGCAGTTTCCTGTAGCCCTCTCTCCAGTACCCTTTTGGGTCATCTCTTGGCTTCCTTCTTTGCTGCTGGGCTTGTGGCTGCCCCAGTGGCCTGAGATGCTGCCAGGCCACTGCAGCTCTGTGGGGAGCCACATGAATAGTTTCTGTTCCAAAACAATTCTGTGAGCCAAGAAAGTGTCTGCGCAGATAAAGCACGCAGTCAGGCTTGCACGGGGCTCCCAGCTGGGTCTTGTGTGCCATCTGAGAGGCTGGCACTGTGTCCAGAGCACTGAACGGTGTGGCTGTCCTCACAGCCTTCACGGTGTACTTGATCTTGACCTGTTTCTCAAGATCATAGTCAGCTGCAAACACAGGCTTTGCAACCATGATTGAAATGGTAACATCCATCGTGAAGTGCTGACTTCAGGCATCGCCCCTGCTTCTTCCCTCCTCCCCGGCTCAGGAGCAGCCTGGCTGAGTGAGAAATAGCAAGTAGAACTTTTCCCATCAGCTCTCTCCTGCTTGGTTCTTTTCCTCTGCCACAGCCAGCTCAGTCAGACTCTTTTCCTCTTTTTTTTTTTTCTTTTTTGGTCAGTTATGAGGCTTGAATTCTAGGCCTGGGCGCTGTCCCTCAGCTTTTCAGATCAAGGCTAGCACACTACCACTTGAGCCACAGTGCTACTTCCAGTTTTCTGATGGTTCATTGGAGATAAGAGTCTCATGAACTTTCCTGCCCAGGCTGGCTTTGAACCATAATCCTCAGATCTCAGCCTCCTGAGTAGTTAAGATTATAGTTGTAAGCCACCAGTGCCTGGCTTTTTTTTTTTTTTTTTTTTTTAATATGCATGCCAATACTGAACTCAGGGCCTTGTGCTCTTAAACTGTATTTTTTTTGTCTTTTCTTTTTTGGTACTAGGGATCGAACCCAGGACGTTGCACTTGCTAGTCAAGCGCTTTGCCACTGAGCTACATTCCAGCCCACGGCCTTGTGCTCTTGATTAGCTTTTTTCATTCATGGTGGGTGCTCTACCACTTGAACCACTTCTCTACCTCTAGATATTTTTTGCTGGCTAATTGGAGATAAGAGTTTTGCAGATTTGTCTACCCAAGCTGGCTTTAAACCAAGATCCTTGGATCTCAGCCCTCTGAGTAGTTAGGATAACAGGCGTGAGCAAATGGCATCTGGTTGCACCCCTTTTTTTAATCTAGCCTTCTACATTCACATCCTCCAGGAAGCATTCCTTGACTGTCTTATGATCGCCTCCCTTTTGAGCCTCTGAGCATCTTGGAACTGGCGATCTCCCACGGGTCACACTTGAGCCTGGGCTGTTACTTCTGTCTATATTCTTTGTCATCTTGGCTCCCAGGAGACAGAGATTATGCTGTTTATTTGTGGCAATCATGGCAGTAACTCTACAAGAAGCATTTGGTTAAATCTTTTGGATAATGTTGTTCTCCCTTAAGGCTGGTCCCTGAAGGAGGTCTTGGGCTATCAGTAACCTCTGTCAGGAGCACTATCATTCCAACCATCACCCTTCCATTCTGTCTTAGAGGTTATGGAACTGTTTCACCTCTCTCTCTTCCTCTCTCCCCCTCCCCCTCCCTCTCTTTCCCCCTTCCCTTTTTTTTTTTTTTTTGAGATAGGGTCTCTATATGCAGTTCAGGCTGGCCTAGAACTCACAGTGTTACTGGGATTACAGGCATGGATCATCATATCTGGCCACATTCATTATGTTCAGTTGCTCTTCACAACCGCCCTGAAAAAAATAGATGGACAAGTGCTATAATGTTTTCTCCATGTACGAATGTAGTGAGGCTCAGAAAGGTCAAATCACTGGCCACGGGTTGCACGGTTGACTTTTTTTATTTCTCAGCTTCACGGAGGGCAGGAAATCCAGTGTTCTTCTTTCGAGGAGTTATTCACCTACATCCTAAAAGGACATGGTGAGTGGAGAGCTGATTCAGTGTTGCACAGAGTTATGATGAATTGCCAATAGCTGCAGTAAAATGAGAGGAAGCAGTCTATTTGGGGTGCTCTGTTCCTTGACTTAGGCTCTGTCCTCAACCTGAGAATTTCTTCCTCAGTCTCCAGAACTTCAGGCTGTGTTGCTAGTAGAATTTTCTAGACATTTCTCTGAGTGTTCCAACATCAGGGCACAAATGGAAGTTTTATTGCTTTCAAATAGGCTGTTTGTGACTGGGTGCCAGTGATTCATGCCTGTAATCCTAGCTACTCAGGAGGTTCAGATCTGAGGATCACTGTTCAAAGCCAACCTGGGCAGAAAAGTCTATAAGACTTATATCCAGTTAACCAGCAAAAAGCTGGAAGTGGAGCTGTGGCTCAAGTGTTAGAGCATTAGCCTTGAGCACAAAAGCTTAGGCACAGCACCCAGGCCCAGAGTTCAAGCCCCACGACCAACAACAACAAAAATAAATAAAATAAAGTATTTTTTCTTTTGCATTTGCTGTTTTGCCTACCAACACTACTCTCTGTACAGCAGGGAGACAAGCAGCCTTGCAATCATATTCTCTTGCTCTCCCCAGAGCATGTCCAGTATCCAAGTACAAGGGAGTCCACCTCCCTGCGGCTTCTAGAGATCATCCTTGCTCACCTGTCTCAGTGAGTCACCTGGATGTTTTTATACCCAGATCTTTGGTCCATAATCTCCTGTACCTAGCCCTTCACATACCATCTATAATCTAAAAGTCATCTAAACCAAGGTCAGCTAGGTGACTCTTCTCTCCCCTGTAGACTTCTGGTGGAATGGCACTGACATCCTGCTATGCCCTAGATATCCCAGCTCTTCTCTTGTGCAGTGTACATTCTGAACCCTTCAGGCCTTGGCATATACTTTACTCCCTCTGGAGAGCCCTCTGTGGCCGAAGCTTACATTCTAACCAAATACTCCACGTACTTTCTTAGAACCACAGGGCCAGGAGTAGAAATGACGTGCGTTCCTGCACGTGTGCAGGAGGTGGGTGTTGACCTTCCAGGATGAAATTCTGGAGGACTGGTGTAAGTTCCCCACAGTTTCCCCTTTCCCCTGTACCTATGGTA